ATAAATATGAAATGAAATTTATTAAAATCAAATGAATCGTCGATAACATAAATAAATAAAAAAAATTAATTAATATAAATGAAAATGAGTAAAAGGAAATAAGTAAAAAAAAATGACAAAAAGAAAAAGATAAAATTTAATTATTTATTAAAGCAGAAGAAAAAGAAAAGCAGAAGATGAAGAAAAAGAAGAAGAAGAAGGAAAAGCAGAAGAAGAAGAGTATTGATTACAAGTAAATTTTATACCCTTAAAAAATATTTAAATTTTTTTTTTTTTGGAAATTACCAAAAAAAAAAAAAAAAAAACTATAAAGAGGGAGTGGAGAGGGGAGGTAAGGGGGTAAAGAAAAGGGAAAGAAAAGGGAAAGTAAAAGGGAAAAACTTTCTACTGGGATTTTCAAAACATTAATATTATCTTTTTGAAGATTATAAATTAAATTAATTTTCTTTGATAAATAATATTATCGTTAATTTTAAATTGGCCTCAGGTTAATAATTTTCTTTAAGTAAAAAAAAAAAAAAATTTGATTTAAACTTTAACGGTTTTTTCTTTTCTTTTCTTTGTTTATATTATTATTAATTTTTATCAAGTAAAAAAAAAAAACTTCATTTGAAATATCACAAGAAAAAGGGGGAGGGGAAAAGGAACATGAATTATTCCAAAAATAAAAGTTATGTATAATTTGTAAATTTGAAATTCCCGCGTTTTATGAATAAATAAATAAACTTATTTAAAAAACAAAGGAAAAAATTTACTGTATTATTATTATTATTATTATTATTATTACTATTATTATTATTATTTTTACACCTGACGGCGTTAAATAATTAAAAATAATGATAAAATTTTTAAATATAAAAAAAAGACCCGCCCCCCGAAAAAAAAAAGAAAAATTTAAATGAAATGTAAATAAGTAAAAATTTAGATAAGTTTTTTTTTCCTTTTTTTTCCTTTTTTTTGTACAAAAAAATAAAAACCGGAAAGAAAAAGTTTTTTCATATAATTTTTTTTCGCGAAAAAAGGTAAAAAAAAGAAGGGAAAGGAAAGAAAAAAAAGGAAAGAAAGAAAAGGAAAAGAAAATTGTAGAAAATTAAATGAAATGAAAAATCTCTTAGACAAATTTCAATTTCATATTTTTTTTTTTTTATACGCCCAACTACAATGAAAAATATGAAAAATAATAACGATAATAATAATATTAATAATAATAATAATAATAATAATAATAATAATAATAATAATAATAATAATAATAATAATAATAATAATAATAATAATAATAATAAAAATGAAAATGAAAATTTTTTTTCTGCTTTTTTAACAAAAAAAAAGAAAAAAAAATATTATATGTGTGTATACATATTTTTTTTTTCTTTTTTTTTAGAAAAATAAAATCATAAAATTTACTCGGTATAAAAAAAGAAAGAAAAACCTTTTCTATATCCTTTTTTTAAACCTTTTTTTCTTCTTTTACTTCCGTTTAAAAAAAAAAAAAAAAAAAAAATAGCAATAAAAGAAAATACTTTTATAATACAATAAATTTTTTTTTTTTAAACTTACCTTTTAAAAAGAAAAATTATCGTAACCGGAAACCGGAAACGACGAGAGAGAGATGAATGATTATCACGTGATTTGACATTGATGTAAACATCATTTTATTGATTTTTAAAATTGTTTAAACAAATTTTTCCCCCCATTAGTCAATTATTGTCTTCTGCTGGAAAAGAAAAAACAAAATAAAAATTCGTAATTAGTAATTAATAAATAAATAAATTTTTTTTTTTTTTAATTTGTGTTTTATGTTTTTGAAAATAAAATGTCAAAGGTCAAATACGCATAAAATTTTTCTCCCCCCCCCAAAAAAAAAAAAAAGTTTATTTAAAAGCGGCTGGCGTGATTCCAGCAGCAGCAGCAAAAAAAAATTTTTTTACAAAAAGAAAAACTCCAGACAGATTTTCATTATGTAAAAATCGTCTGGTTTACTTATTACGAACGAAAAAAAAACCGATTGGGGGAAGGGGAGGGGAGGGGGAGCAAGTTTTCCATTTTTTTTTTTTTTAATTCTGGTTTCGGTTGTTAACCTGCCACGATATAGAGGACAAAACAAACAAACTTTTGCCAAAAAAAAAAAAAAATATTAATTTGAATAAAATTTATCGTAAATTTTCATATATGACCAAATTTCAGATTCGATAAAAAAATTTTCCTTTTTTTTTCGGGGGGTAGGAGGGGGTTTAATTGGATTTTAAATTTTTCTTGTTCGTAAAAACAAAAAAAATGTGTACGTTACAATTCAAGGTTGAATTGACCAAACCACCGAAAAAAAAGGAAAAAGCTTTTAACTTTGTTTAAATTGTTTTAAAAAAAAAAAATTCTCGTTTTACAAAAAAAACTGACCTTAAACAAAAGTAACATGAGAATATTTTTAATATATATACACTCTTATCATTATTATCATCATCATCATCATCATTATTTATATTATAAATAATTTTAAATAGAAAAACACACACACAAAAAACAAAAAATTTTTTTTGTCAAAGGGAAAAACATGTTAAAATCAATAAATGCTTTTTTTTCCCTACGGTAAAAATAAAATAATAATAATAATAATAATAGTAGTGGTAGTGGTAGTAGTTGTAGTGGCAGTTGTTGTTGTAGTGGTTGTAGTAAAATTTAATAAAAAAACTAAATGTTTAAACTAAACTAAACTATTTAATAAAAACTCGACAGAAATTCTATGATCGACAACAGGAAATTTAAAAACTGAAAAATTTTCTTTTTTTTTTTTTTCGGTTTTTCCTACCCATAAAATATTTCGCGTTTTGTTATGTTTTGTGTTGTGTTGCGTTGTGTTGTGTGTGTGCGTGCGTGTGTGCGTGTCATCCTTGTGTGCTGTCGTCTTTTAAATTAAATCAAACGAAGGAAATTCTTTAGACTTTTCATTATAAATTAACAATAAATTTTATTTTATTAAATGTTTTACTCGTGTTTTTCCATTTAAATATTTATTTATTTATATGTAGAAGAAAACTTTTTTTTTTAATATAATAATAATAATAATAATATAAAGGTTTTAAATAAATAAATAAAAAAATTAATAAACACTTATTAAAATAAATTAATATCATCGATGAGTTTAATAATAAAAACCACTCGTCGTTCCTTTTTTTTAATTGGTTATTAAAAATAAGGGATGAAAAAAAAAAAGGAAAGGGATGAAAAAGAGTAAGAAACTTTTTTAACTTTTAATAGATTTTATTATTATCACTTATAAATTAATGATAATAATAATAATGATAAATAAATAAATATTTACCGTCGTCGTCGTCATCGTCAATTTTAATATTATTAACTTTTTTTTTTTTTTTCTTATTAAATACGAGAAGAAAAGTTTATTGAATTTTTTTCTTTTATTGTTACAAAAGAGAGAGTGAGGGGGGGAGGGGAAAGAGAGAGAGAGAGAGAGAAAACGTTAACGAATTATGCTCAGGTGTTTGTTTTGAACTAAATAATACACCTGTATTTTCTTTTCTTTTTTTTTTTATTCTATATTATTATTATTATTAAAGAAAAATCCACTTTGTGTAATCCAAAATAAATGATTTAATTTTTATGTTCCCCATATTTTTATTTATTTATTTATTTATTTTGTAAATGACGTCATATTTAACCGACAAAAGTTTTGCGATTTTATAATTTCACGTGATAAAAATTTAAAAAAAAAAAATAATAATAATATCTTGTATCTTTTCGTTTATTATTTCGAAATTATTATTATTATTATTATTATTATTATTATTATTAATTTAAAATCGGGTTTTATAGTTTTATTAATGATTTATAAAACATTTTCTCTCTCTCTCTCTAATAAATTAGAAATCAAAGGGTAAAAATAATTTTTTTTTTTTTTTTTTTCCAATATTAACCCTTTCGATTCTTTCGTCTTTACTTCGTTTTCCTTTTTTTCACCTTTTCGGGCTTAATAGTGGTAGAAGTAATTCGAGTTTAGGTTTAAATTTAAGACGGGGAGGGGGGGAGGGGGGGGCGAACAAAAAAAAAAAAACAAAATTTACGTACCGATTTATGTAGTCGTTCTTAGCAATAGATCTTTCATCGGATTTTACAATAATAATGATTTTCTTCGGTCGTTTTCTTCTGAAAATTTTAAAAAAAATTACAAAGAAAAAAAATATATATACATATTCTTTTTTTTTTTTTTTTTAAAAAGTCTATTCTTCTAAATTTTTAGAATGACAAAATAATTTTAAGGGTAGACATTTTTTTCGAAGATTAGTACCAATCAATCAATATAAATTTAAAAACTTTTATTTTTTTTTTTTCTTTTTTTTTTTCCTTTTTTCCTTATTCTTTTTCTTTTCCTTCCTAATTGCCTTCCTAATGCTTTTAATGGTTAATTTCTTCTGCCAGTGATGACCGGTGGTAATGCCAGTGATGACGATAATTATTATTATGAATGAAGATGATGGTCGTGACGATGAGATTATGACTGATTACTTGCTAAGTTAATCGGATTATGGGAAAATGTTGATGACCGCTAAAATCGAATTCGGGCGGCGTGTGTGAATCTTTCTTATGACCGGTTGCCAACAATTTTAATACCACAAAATTTGTTTTGCATATTCGTATTAAATCCGTTACCTAAAATAATTCACGAATGAAAAATTAGTATTAATAATGCTAATATGGCGATAAATAATTTTCATTAAAAAAGTTATTTTTTTTTTTTTTTACTTCTTGATCTGGATTCGATAAGGATTCCATTAGACTTCTAGCTTGGTGAAAATTTTTACAGCCCCCCAAATATAAATTCGAACTGTCGGGAACTGTGTCGTATCGTAGAAGTGAAGTCATTTCTTTAAATTCCGAGTACTTGACCGGTGGAGGCGTTAATAAATTGGCAAAAGGAGCAAATCTGTGCTCGTATCTGACTTGTTCATTATCGAATTCAGGATGAACTGGAGGTATTTTACTATCTAATTTAAAAGCAATCATTGCCTGAGAAAGAAAAAGAAAAAAAACAAAAAAATGAAAGTCTTGCAGACATTTTAAACTTAGATTTACAAAGAAAAAAAAAATGTGAAGCACAACCTTATAATATCCGCCGCACATGTTTTGCAGAGCCTGATTTAATGTGATTTCTTTTCCAAAAGGTTGCGTCTTTTTTTTCTTTGGCTTATTTTTTTTAGATCCGCGACCTTTTGTATGTGGATCAGGCAAAAAATCAAGTTCAACTAAAACATTATTAGCTCTCAAAAGAGCCGAGACTAGCCAACCGTATAAAAATTCATATAAATACCTAGACACAAAAAAAAACAAAACTCTTTCATTTAATATTTTCCTTTAATTATTTTTTATCACGTTTAAAAAAAAAAAAAAAAAAATTTTAAATGAAAAAACTTGCCAAAATATATAATGATACTCGTGTACGCTGTACAATTCTAACTCTAAGCCAGAGAGTAGGTAAAGTATCATGATTCTTAACGTGTGGTAAAGTACCCAAGTTCCAAAGAAAGCTAGATGAGGCCTTGGGGAATCTGATTTGAGCGAAATACTATGTAAATAGGCATCGACTCGTTCCGCTTCATCTTGTAGAGCTGCAAAATCTTCTAGGAGATGAGCCAATTTATCTCGTTGTCTCGCCCTGTTGTGACCGCAAAGTTGAAGCAAATTTCCAAACGGCCTCGTACAATGACTTAGAAATGTATCTACATATTCTTTTGCTTGTGGATTACTAAGAAGATTTGATTTTGGCATAAGGGCAGGTGGAGCGATAAAACTTCTGGCAGCTTCACGCAAAAGATCCGAACACAAATCAGAATTAAAAACTCTATTATACTGAGTAGAATATACTTTGAAAGGAGGAAGGTAAAGCAATTGCAATATTGACCGGGAAAGAATACAAGGCCCATGACGACTAAATTCAATAAAAAAATCCTGAAAAGATATATATATATACATAGTTATTTATACACTGATGAGGGGTAATATAAGAGTAGCAATTAAAGTTGTTTAACAACTTACCAAAGCTGTATGAAAAGAAGAAAAAGTGGTAATTCTACAAACCACCTTCAGTCTATAAATTAATTCTTCGACATAGTGTAAAGCATCAATACGAGATTTGACTTTGGTATACCGCGGAAAACTTGGTAATAAAAGTCTTTGATTAATTAAAGGATCAAATCCTAACATTTGTAAATGGTCTTTGTTCTCTTGTGGCTGAATTCCTTTGTCTACAGTTTTAAGCATAATTCCTAAAGCGTCTAAACAGCTAGACAGTAGCTTTTGAGATTCCCCTGAATTCAAAGATTCTTTTTTATTAAAACTAAGCAAAACCTGATAAAAAAGGCGAAAGAATTTAATTCTTATATGCAGTGCAGATATTCCTTCTTGTTTCTGCAAGAGAAAAATAAATGTATTTATAAAATTTTTTTAAAAAAGACGATTAAGTGTAAAAATTACTTTACGCTATAAAATAATTATTCATTATTTTACTTACTTCGATTTGACTATTTTCTGATGGTTTATTCCTTAACTTCTTTTGAAGATCATCTTCTACTTCTTTTAACAAGCCTACAGCTCTAGAATCTGAAATATCCGGTTTTAATTTGTATCCATAAGTAAGCGGCTGAAAATCTTCTTCCTCGAAAACTAAAGCTTCGTTAATAAAATCTTTGATTATTTCTATGAGTTTATAGAAAAATATTGAAAAAGCTCTCATAACTTTATCTTGCACTTTATAAGGTCGATGAAAATATAAATTTGTGAACACAGTTTGTGCTAAGGAATGGCCTTCCAGCCATGAAACTAAACAAGCTAATGTTGAATCAATAATACCTATACACTCGGCTGGAGTCAAATTATCCATTTTTAAAGACCCAGACTAAAAATTTAAAAATAAAACGATTAAAGATTTCATTTTACTTACAGTATATACAACTTTTCTGTATATATGCTATTATTTAATATTACCTCAACTAATTCATCAAATGTTTTTGTGGATTTATAATCTCTATTGCACATTCCAGCATCCATTTTTGGATCCATCATCTCAATGGCAGACATGGCTTCAAAGAGGCCAAAAAGATGATCATGAAGCAGTTCACCAAGTTTAAGTTCTTTAACAGCTTCATTAAACTCTTGTGTGATATCAACCCAATTGTACATATTTGCCGTGTGTGGGGGGCATTTCAGCATGTCTTCGGACATTCTAAAAATAAGAAAAATATTATTAAATTACAATTTTTCATTAAACTAAATTGTTGGTAGAAAAAAAGATGTAGTATAAAAAAATTATGAGACAGTATATAAATAAAACCAAAGACACTATGTTTCACAACTTTTTTCTCCACGTATTATATCAATATTAAATTCAATAATTTATTTAATTTAAAACATTTTCTTATAAATTTATAAAATTTAAACGAACCTCAAAGAACAATCATATTCAAGTTCAGTTGTATCATTTAAAGCACCACTGGCAGCAGCCATTTGCAAAAAATTATATTTTCAAAGAGTTTTGAAACAATTTTAAAAACTCTTCGCGAGTAAACGCCTTTTTACAAATTCATGTTTTGTGCTCAACTTTCATATCACCTGTAACTCAAATAGTTCTTATCTCATTCAAACAAATTAAATATTACGTTTTTATTTGTTTAAATCCTTTACACAACTTATATTTTTAAAAAATTAATATAATTTTAATAATTACATTATATCTTAAATTAAAAAAACAGTCAGAAACATATATGAATAATATTATACAAATGATAGGAAGACAATGAATGAAAAATTTTTTGTTTTTATTTAGTAAAAAATTTTTTTTATAATTAAAATCAATATTACGAAATATAAAAGTTAACAATGAAACTATTGATATTAAATAAATATATATATTTATATCTATAATCATTTAAACTTGCACATTTTAAAA